AGAGGCGAGCGAGAGAGGGCAGGGAGTGGGAGAGAGGTGAATTGTATATGTATATAGGTTAGATAATTGTATATTATACATATTTATTTGTATATATGGCAAGCGAGATTGGGAGAGGGAGGAGAGAGGCGAGCGAGAGAGGGCAGAGAGTGGGCGAGAGGTGAATTGTATATGTATATAGGTTAGATAATTGTATATTATACATATGTATTTGTATATTCTGGCGAATTATACATATATAAATGTGGCTAATTATACAAACTCGAAGTCAGTCCGCGTAATTAATGTATAATGTTAGTCGTGAGTGGTAATTATACCAAACTATAGCTATGATGAGTAATTAAGTAGTATAAGTTTGCTTAACCGCGTAATTTTCCCTTCTTTGTAAGACTAATAAATCTAATTATTTTGATCGATCAGCAACACCTATTTAATCCCCAACACTATGGGTTGGGCTACGACGAAATTGGGCCTTGCAAACTACTTTTATATAGCTCTAATTAGTTTCATTATTGTACTTGTTTAGTCCTCAAACAATTTATTAAGCACAATGTGAAATTGCCAATAATTGCAAAATTTCAAGTTAGAGACAAATACAGCGTGTAATAAAAGTAAAGGCACGTTTTTGAAAAATAAATTAATTGTTCAAAATTGTTATCCTATATTTAATATGGAATAAAAATATAACAACAATTACGAGATAACAATTTATCTAACAATTTTATCTCAACTAAATATGAAATAAAGTTATTAGTATCATAGAGTAGGACCCACTTGCTTTATCAAAACGTGGGACCCATACCCAACTCCACCGTCAAATCCGCGTTTCTTCCTCACTCGCCAGTTGCCTCTCTCCAATTTCTCCATCCATTCATCTTTCAAAGTGTGAAATAATCACACTCATAAAATTAAACAATAAATACTCCTCTCTCTCTCAACCATAAAAGTGAAAGCAAGCATTATATCTCGGAAACGGAGACTTGCTTAACAAAAATGGCTCTGCGGAGCTCCCGTACGGTCACCGGCACCGGAATACGGCTCACCTTCAACCTCTTCGTGTCTTTTCTCACTGTCGCTGTTTTCCTTCTCTTAGCTCTCTCTTCTCTCTACACTTCCTCTGCAGATCCCTCTGATCTCGGCGTCGTAAGTACTTACCTTCGCAATTTCTCCCTTCTCATTTATTGATTTACTGTCGGTTAACCTATAATCTGTGTATTTTTTTTCTTATTGAGTTGTCACATTTTCTTATTGAGTTGTGATCTCGTGATACTTTACTTAATATTTTGTTAATTTTTGAGTATGTGCGTGTTATCAAGTTACTTAGATCTAAATCTGGAAACATAGTAATATGATTAATTTTTTGTGATTTTTTACTAAATATGCACGTTATTAGGATCTCAATCTGGAAGCTTTGATTGTGAAACATTTTTACACTATGTTTTATTCTCTAGTTAGTAAGATCTTATTCTAGAAAGATTTGATTGGTTATTATCATCTCATGAGTTTTGAAATACTTGTCCGTGCGTAGTGATTCTAGACTTGTTGTTGAGCTTGTCTGATTCCACGAGGTTTTTATGATTTCTGAGTTTTAATATGCATGAATTGCATAATTTTTCTTGGATCTTTCTTTATCCCTAAGTAGGTTTTGTATTGACAGTGTCAAATGTGGTTGAATAGGGAATTACACGTGATTTTAGAGGAGTTGGATCATTACGAAGGTCGGTGTTGGCTCTAAAATCTGATCCATTGAAGCCGCGGCTAGATCAGATCAAGAAGCAAGCAGATGATCACCGTTCATTGGTTCTGGCTTATGCTTCCTATGCTCGGAAGCTGAAGCTTGAGAACTCAAAACTCGTTCGAGTTTTTGCTGAGTTATCTAGGAACTTTAGCGATCTGACTTCAAAACCTTTATACCGCACACTGTTTGACTCGGATGGTAACTCAATGAATGAGTCGGTACTTAGGCAGTTTGAGAAGGAGGTGAAGGAAAGGATTAAAGCCACCCGGCAAGTTGTTGCTGAGGCGAAAGAGTCATTTGATAATCAATTAAAGATTCAGAAGCTGAAAGATACAATATTTGCCGTCAATGAGCAGCTAATGAAGGCGAAGAAGCAAGGTGCTTTCTCGAGCTTGATTGCTGCCAAGTCTATCCCGAAGAGCGTGCATTGTTTGGCAATGAGGTTAATGGATGAGCGAATCACTCATCCTGATAAGTATACAGATGATGGGAAGCCTACTCCACCAGAATTTGAGGATCCTAGCCTTTATCATTATGCAATCTTCTCTGACAATGTGCTTGCTGCTTCAGTTGTGGTGAATTCAGCAGTTAAAAACTCGAATGACCCATCGAAGCATGTGTTTCACGTGGTGACTGATAAAATGAATCTTGGGGCTATGCAAGTTATGTTCAAGATGAAAGAATATAATGGGGCTTTTATCGAAGTGAAGGCGGTCGAGGATTATAACTTCCTGAATTCTTCTTATGTTCCGGTACTTAAGCAGCTTGAATCTGCAAAGCTTCAGCAGTTTTACTTCGAGAATAAGCTCGAAAATGCAACAAAGGATACAACTAATATGAAATTCAGAAACCCGAAGTATCTCTCCATATTGAACCACATTAGATTCTATTTACCAGAATTGTACCCCAAGTTGCACAGGATATTGTTCTTGGACGATGATATAGTTGTTCAGAAGGATTTGACAGGTCTATGGAAGATAGATATGGGTGGTAAGGTGAATGGAGCTGTGGAGACATGTTTTGGTTCATTTCATCGTTATGCACAATACATGAATTTCTCTCATCCTTTGATCAAGTCTAAGTTCAACCCCAAAGCGTGTGCATGGGCTTATGGAATGAACTTCTTTGATTTGGATGCTTGGAGGAGGGAGAAGCTCACGGAGGAATACCATTATTGGCAGACTCGGGTAAGATATACTATCCATCCATTGCATTTATGTGGCAATTTTATCTGCGGATGAAGTTCTAGAAAGCAAGGACTTTTGAACTTGTGGTCTTAATCCCTGCCATAATATTTATGTGGCTATAAAAGCATATTATTAAGAGTAAATGGGAAATTCAAAATTTAAGTGTTTCAAAATATATAAATGTGTCAAAGTTACCAAGTTTCAAAAAAAATAAAATATATAAATGTGTCATTCTTCTGGAAACAGACTATAGAGGAAAAAATGTGCCACATTAAACAGAACATAGCATTAGTAGAGTTATATTTATTCCAGAAATGTTAGATTACAACTTTTTATGGGTAGTTCTTGGGTGTGTTTGGTATGGAGAAAAATAGTTTCCAAAAAAGTGTCTTTCAAATTTTCCATGTTTGGTTGGTCGAAATTTTTGGAGAACATATTTTCTAAAGAGTATTGTTCCTTAGAAATGATGAAAATTAGAAGTACGGAAAACAAGTTCCACACATCACATTCCACATCAATTGTTTCATCCCCATCCTTCAACACACTCCACTACCATAGTTCATCCCCACTAACTTACACCCCTCCCTACCTCCAACTCCAATAGTTTTGTCTGGATTATACACAAATACTTTAGAAAATAATATTTTATCTATGTACCAAATACAAGAAAATTTGTACGAAAATCACTTATTTTCCTTCGTACAAACCCTCCTGTTGTCTTGCATGTTCTTATTAAGCACGGATCTGCCTGTTTTCCAACTTCTAAGGTGACATGCTGCACCGCATTTTAATTAGTTAGACTTGTACAGTCTGAAATACACGTTTTTACTATTTTAACTAAAGAGGGCTTCTAATCTTTGCAGAATGAAAACCGGACCTTATGGAAATTGGGTACGCTGCCTCCAGGATTAATCACATTTTACTCCACAACAAAGCCCCTGGACAAATCATGGCATGTTTTAGGGCTTGGTTATAATCCTAGTATCAGTATGGAAGAGATCAATAATGCTGCAGTTGTCCACTTTAATGGGAATATGAAGCCATGGCTTGATATTGCAATGGCCCAATATCGGCCTCTATGGACGAAGTATGTGGATTATGAAAATGAGTACGTGCAGGGGTGTAATTTCGGTTTCTAAGTACATGAGATCAGGTGGATATTTGCTTGTCGGGTTCAGCAAGCTATTCCTGCAAGCATCCCTCAATATGACTTGTTCCTGCTCTGTCACACGGAAAACTAGTGTTCATTTTCTATGCCGTAGGTGGTATCTTGTCTATCCAAGTCTTATTTATTTTCTCGAGCAGCAGTTTAGCTTTAGTTTTCAATTGTCTATACGATGTTTACTATTTTTATGGACCAGAAGTAAAAATAATATATCTTGTTATATTATTTCAGAAGGCTACTGTCAGAGTTGAGATATTTGCAATTTTGTGGGTTAATGTATTACAGATTTCACGATTAAGCAACTTATTTTCTTGTTGTCACTCTGGTGTGGTGTTTTAGATATGATTTCCTTTTGAATATTGATTTAGATTTTAGAGCTTCGTATACACAACAATCTTGTTTGCAAGTGAACTCTCTCGTTAACAATAAACAGTACCCAAAACTGCTGAATGATTCCTCCAGGCCGTCGACTTTAAATATCTTGTATCAGATGCTTATGATCAGTAAGTGTGTTGTTATTATCATATGAAAATGAGACCACTTTAGATGATTTCTCAGTCTGCTTATATATGATTCTGATGAATACGTTGCTGTTAGCCAACAAAATGCAGGTGCATTCATTGTGAATTGGTGCTTAAATGGGCACCAATTGTTATTAACCTTGTTAGACTTGCAAGGTTTGACTTCTTAAATATCAGACTGAGCTGGATCTAACGTTAGCTCATTCTTGTTAAGTGTCGATTGAATTAGACCCATTGTTCATTTTTCTCAACATTATGCCTATACCAGATCCAGACTCATCCCTACTCTTGTGTTTTACAAGGTTTGTAATATGCGTCCCCAATGCACAAGCTTATCCAAATATATAACAAAATAAAATAAAAACATTTCTTTTGTCAAACTGAAAAGAGAAATTAAAATAAATAAATTTCCACAAGCCCCCAACAATAATTCAATACAAAAAAGGCAAAAGCCCACGAATGACGTATAATCTCTTGCTAGGGGCTCCAACACCCGTATGCTACACAAAGAAATCTACTTAAAAAAAAAAAAAAAACTTCATTCCTTCCTCCACCCATCCGATTAACCAGAAAAAAAAAAATTGAACTAGAAAACTTAGCAAAAAGAGCTTTTTGAGAAACATCATAGCTCTTGACAAAATTTCTCTTCAGCTTAAAAATAAATCATTTTAAATGTCAATTCAAATAATAATACTAAGCTACTACTCTTCAAGCTGTAGCAGAATAGCGAGGTGTCGGGGTTTTGGCTGTTCCATTAGACATTCCACCACCACGACTCATTCGCCCACCACCTGTATTGTCAGCTCGCCGATATCCTTCACCTCCACGGTTTGATGAACCCCCACGATTCCCACCCCTGTTGTTGAACTCATTTCTTCCATTAAAATCATCTCGACCATAGCCCCTGCCACCTACATAGTTTCCTCGCCCTCTTCCTCCATCGTTCCTGAATCCACCACCCCTTCCGGATTGAAACCTACCACCACCTCTGGTGTTAACTGCAGCAGAGAAGACATTTAGATTCACTGTGAAAAAGTAATAATATTGCTCTGCACTTTTTTCTTTTCACAATGCTTTTCCAGGAAAGTGATATAACAACATAATATTCTCCAAAAATCAAAACAGAAGCAGCCACTATGGAAACACGCCCTTCACTACACCAAAAACACATCAAATATGCAATTTTTTCCTGGTGATTATGCATCAGTAATTCTAATTACTTAAAAGGAAAATGGTTAAAACTTACGTCGAGAATTAGTAGACCTCTTTTCCTCAACCACTGCTTGCCGATCACCAATGAGAACTGGAGAAGCCTGTAGAAAATGAAGCCCAAAACCAAAAGTAAACTGGGCAGGTGAAAAGAGACGCATCGGATGGGGAAAAACTAATGCGAATTGACCATGTTAATCATATCCATACTAAGGTGACAATAAGAATTGTTAACAAAACTAATGTGATTGACCATGTTAATCATATCCATACTAAAAGCTAAGGGGTATCAAAGTAGGACCCACAAAACTGTAAGCCGCCACACTTCTATAAGGTTATTCAAGCAACATGTAGTTAACTTAAAAAGTACCAAATTTGATCCACAAACGTGTAAGCCACCTGAATTTTACAGGTTCGACAGGGAATACATTCATTGATAGGCAACACAAATCAATCCAACCGAAAGTTTAGGTCAACTAGCGATACCATAATAACCAGACATTAGCAGACAAATTAAACTTAAGTAATTATCCTTCATTCTCTTAATTGAATTGCAATTAAACTCAGCCTAATCTTTTACTAAATCCCAAATTAACCCGTAAAGAACTACCAATTTAAACCTTATGACATAAATTTCTTTTCAACTGAGGGTCTAGTTAGAATATTGCATGGCATTGAACTACTAATCATCCGCTGCAGGATGACTAAACAATGATAGAGTCAAATTGGGGCTAAAAGTATCGACTCAATTTAAATATTTAATCAAGACCTTAAAAAGTAATACTAACTCAATCCAGTGCCATCAATTTGCTGAAGGTGGATAATATGGTTACTCAAAACAACTAACAAAAGAAGAGCATATGGATTCTCACTGCTCAAAGACTTCTTATGCATTTCACAGAACTCTTGAACTTGATGAAATAAATTTAAGCTACTGTTCCTCTTGATTTCACCCGCTCCATCTTATAATACATGACATGCAAGAGGGATAAAGATGAGATACCTCGATTGCTTTTTGCACAGCACTTTCCACTTCAAATTCCACAAATCCAAAACAAAATCCCTGTTGCTGCCATTAACCAATTTATGATTAGAGAATCCATTAATGCAGAAGAACATATAGCAAAAGAATGCACAGATTCAGATTTTTTTTTCTTTGATTAGCAGGAAAATAGCACAAACAAACATACCCTGTTACTTCTGACTTGAATTCCTCCATTTTTTATTGGCCCAAACTTCTTGAACTCATCCGCAAGTAATGCCACAGTTGCACTCATAGGCAAGCCTTTTATATAGATTGAGTAGCCATCAGCTGCTGGAGGTGATTTAAAAACACAAGAATGAGAAATCAACACAACTCATAGTGAAAAAAAAACACCAAATGGATTGAAAAAGTAGAAGCAAACTCTGCAATTGCATGCCTTCTGTGTTATTTATGTTATCAATGGTATCTGAACTGGAATATGGGCCATCAGTTGCTGTGGCAGCAGGCTGATTCACTTGCACAACACTCTTTGTCATAGGCTTCCTAGAAGCAGGTGCTGGAGGAGGGGAGAAGGTTGCAGCACTTTCCTTGAGATGCATGACCTGAAATAAATTGCAAATTTTCTTAACTAAGAAATTTTGAATAGACCTTCTCTATCCTTGAATCATCTTTGACTACAGACCAACTAGACTTGGCAGATGCTAATATGTCTAAACTATTGGTAGCAAATATGAGTATAGAGGTGCTAATGTTGCTAATCAAACCCTTGAAAGTATACGCTAAGAAGAATGTGCATCCAGTTATTTGTTGCCATGACCACTTACAATTGAAGCATATGACTTCTTAGGAACTTCCCCAGTTTTGTTGTCAGATTCAGCTACCACTTCAGAGCCATCTTGGACTTCATCGACAACCTCAGACACAGGCACTTCCTCTTCAACAATAGTCACATCACCATTCTCAGATGGGTTGTAAACTTCTCCCACATCAGCTTCCTCCGCTGGTGGAGTGCTTTGCTCGGGAATGTGATTCTGCGGTACTGTAGGTGGATCTGCAACAACTGGTAAAAGAAAAACTTTGTCAGTTGCTAATTAGGGTATTGCCAAAAGAACCAAACAATTGTTGCAATTACTTTGCTCTGGCGTGACAGGAGCCACAGCATCAATTACTGGAACGTGGACTGTATCATGCTGACCGGCAGTCTCTACATATCGAAACATATCATTCAAGACAAAGTACCCCCTATCTTGCGGTGCTAGGAAGAAAGTTTGACAGAAATTCCGGATCAAGTTGTCTTTCCCAGTCAAATATCCAGTTACAAGGACATGCACCCCGCCATTAAAGGATTCTTGGGCATCCACAGACTTGATCTCTGCTCTGAAATCTCCATAGTTGAGTGAGAGTATCTTATCATTTATTGCCTGTGTTTGACATCAAACAAAAGAACATTAGCAACTCCGGCATTGCTAATTCAAAAGATCATTAGAGTAAACAAGACAAGAGCAGTAAAAAGTGAAGCTAAAGGTGAGCCTCTCAAGGTTGACCAGTTTTAGTCATTCAAAGGTAATAAAATTTTCTCCAAACCCAAAAAAGCCTGCATCAAAACTCAAGTATACCCAACATCTCCACAGCTAACAAAGCCCATAAGTAAAACTTCTCACTCTACATCATTCTACATAAACCTAAAGGTCGATATAGAATATGCTCTCTCAACTAAGTACAATATTCCAGTTTCAATCTTTTCAATATATGTGCAAAGTCAAAGTAAGGCATTTAGTTTGAAACAAACGGACAAAGAACCACTTTTTCCATTAAAATGTACAGATATTAATTAGAAAAATGTATTTTTTACATGTCATCACCTAACACTGATAATGATTAATGAAATTTCATCTAAAAATGTGATCTTTACCTACAAGCAATAAAAATAAATTCAACAGATTTCAAATCCTTTATTCTTCACACAATCAATCAACTCCCTCACCCAACAAACACATATTTAGGCACATTGTTCACAAGTTTCTGCAACAAAATCAATATAGGGGAAAAGGGAATAACATGGACCATAGTATACGCGAAGATTAGTTCAGTTGCACTTACTTGCATTGTCGTAGTGATACACATGGATCCATCCTCTTCAGGACGTCCAAGCTTGCTTATATCCTGGTAAAACCTGAATACAAGCCCTGGCGAATGATGCAATATATGATAGTATTGCTGCACAAATGCATTCGCAACCTATATACACAAACACATCAAACTCAATCAATATCCACAGCTTAAAGCAAAACAAAATAAACGCAATGATTTATATACGCACAACTTGAGCAGAAACTGGTGCTACTGCCGCTACTGCCACTGCTGCTTCCGCTGCCATCGTCAATCAATCGAACTCCTATTTAAAGCACTAAACACAAAATTAACCAAAAATATTAGAAAAAAAACTCGAATCCTCTGTTCTCGTGAAAAAAAAAAACTTAATTCAAAAAAATTAAACATTAATACCTGGATTTGTATCGGATCAGGTCAGTGGAAAGAGCGAACGTTTGATGTACAGTCTGTGTGTTTCTCTCTCTAGATGCGGAGGAGGAAGGTTTGAGTTCTAGGGTTTTGCTGTAGAGAGAGTGGTGGATCTCGGAAAAGAGGCGTGAGTAGAGAGAGAGAGTGGGAAAAGGAGAGAGAAAGGGTTCCAAAGAGGATTTTATACACGTGTTGTGGTGACTCGTGGGATATTATAAAACTTTAATATATGTGGATTTACACACGAAAAAATAAGTACTACTACTACTAGTATTAGGAGTACTTTTAGTTAATTATTAATCATATGATTAGATGAGGAAATATATTAAATTAAATTAAATATTGTACTAATTTTAGTAGTATTTATTATTGATTAAATCAACATATTAAGCAGATTTTATGTCTTTATTATAATTGATAGAATTTGGCATGAAATTAATTTCATCACTGAACTATTGTTGGAATAATAATTTAAAGTTGTAATAAGAATCTTAAGCCGTTTAGGATTTATTATTTATGATATTACTTATTTATGTTTAATTAAGATTTGTTAATTAGAGAGGTTATAGATCTAATTTATTTTAGTTGTTAGTATTATAAATTGGGATGTCTTAATACATATTTTCAATGTCATGAAATATAAGCATTCATAAATAAAATATTTTTCTTCAATTATTGACAGCCTAATTTAAATATACATTTGATCTTGCTACAACTCTTTCAATTCTTGAAACCAACTCTTTAAATTCTCGCCTAGTTTAGGATTTTTTTAACACTTCTCTCGAATTTTTTTAATCAAGAACTCCATGCTCCTAGAAGAGTTTGAGAGCACTTGTTATGTCATATGACTGATTAGGAGTGTACTTAAATTTAGTTAATCAAGTAAAACGATATTATTCAAAAATGAAACTAATAATTTACACCAATTTCAGAGATGTTTTGGATACTTCTCTTTTTATTATTCAATGTTCACTAAATGCTTCGTATATAGAAGAGAAATACTCCCCCTATTCAATTTATGTGTCACGTTTTGACCTATACACAATTTAAAAAAATATATAATTGGAAAAGTTTACCCGATAATTTATTATAAATCGAAGATGTGTAATTATTTAGACTCAAATTTATCTGACCATCAATTTGTTATTATCCAGATTAATTTTGTTTGTCCAACTAATTTATAACAAAATGGTAGATCAAGAGTGACACAATCAAATTGGTCGATGGAAAAGACCCTAACATTATTTGGTGGTGTTAGTTGCAACTTACAGAATCTTGGACATTGCTTGTTTGTGGTACTTATTTTTTTGTTCTTTGTTCAATTATTTGAAGTACTTTGTACTCATTTATTTATTTATTGCGTCCAATTGTTAGTACTACTTCGTGTGTTCGCATTCTATTTTTATTTATTGCTTCCATTGTACGCACATTGTGGGGTTATGTTGCTTTCAAAATTCAATGACACAACTCCATGTAAAAGAATTCCAACTTGAACCACAAAAAGAAATCAAAGTCTATCTCGATTTAACATAAGTAAATCATGGTTCATGTCGCTTCATTTAAGCCTATCTCGATTTAATATAAGAAATTAAAAAAGAAGTTGAATTAAAAGATCAGTTAGATTCCATCAAAAACAGGGGGGAATTACAGTGATGTGTTTTAAAGGCTGGGATAAATCAACAGCCCCAGCATGCTCCACAAATTGAGAAGGGGAAAATGACTTTCCATGACAAACACAAACAATATTGATCTCCATTTTGTTATCATACTTGCACAATAATCCATTTATCGTCTTCCCATTTGGGCCATTACCGGTTGCTGAAACACACGGCATTCGAGAAAGCAATTGAATCATGCCACAATTCCTCTTTTCCTCTGTTTTTTGGTCTTGTTCCTCTTTGATGGACATGACATTACTACTACTTCTACCTGCAAACCCACATAGGATCATTTGATAGCTGATCAGAGTTATGCAGTTATTAATTATACTATAATAAACTCCAAATTAAATAGATTACCTTTAGGAGACGAACTTTGGCATTTTGTAATTGTAGAAGAACATCTCTCCATAGATCCATTCGACTCACTACTTCTACATTGATTATAACTCGTATTCGAGTTATAAATTCTAAAACCTCGACAATTTTTCCTCATCGATTCCCTTTTCCCAACATTCCGATGATCGCAAATTGGAACTACAAGATTATGATCATTTACACATGAATCTTGATTCATAAAAAGATTCAAGCTTTTTACACCTTCACTGCCAGAAGTACTAATTTTGCTTTTTCTCCAAATTAATTCTTCATTCTCCATCATTTCTCTATGTAAGACCCTCTTTTTTGACCTTTGCCACTCTATTAACATCTTATCATCTGAATTGAAAACTTGATCATTTTTCTTTGTGTAATTTCCTCCAATTGATAAGCTTAAACTCAATCCAATCCCATTTTCATCTTCATCAAAATCACCCTTCATTAGCTCCAACATCTTCTCTCTTTTTCTTTTTTTTGCACTAACAAAAAAAACCTTGCTTTCTTGTATTTGTTTTTTCAAGAAAAAGATTGAATCTTTAGGAACAAAAGAGATATACGAAGAAGATAAAAAATAGGAGATGTATTTATTGAAGCAGTAAATGTAGTGAAGAATGCCACGTGGCGTGAAAAGAAACGATGACGTGAGAGTTTTAATGACACGTATGATCAATTAATCCAGCGTTTAAGTAAAGCATTTAACCAGCATGTTTCTTTGACTGCCACGTGGATTCTAACGGCGGCACGTTTTACTGAGGTTATAGCTTCGTGACACGTGTCAGATTGAACAGAAAAGGGATTGAAATATTGAATAGTTCTATTCCATCAAGGAGGAGAAATAGATTTTGATGTTTTTTCTTAGGAATTTGTGCTGAAATGTACACGTGGCGAATAATGACGCACGGTTGGTTTTGTTCTGGAAAAGTCTGGTGAAATCAAAAAATTGAATAATATTTGTCTAACCGTATAAAAAAAATATCAAGAGAGCGTGACGATAGTTGAAAAATATCAATACATATTGTTGCGTAATTAAAATACTGATTATTTAATGTAAACGTCAAAAAAGAAGAGATTCAGTCACTAAAATTTATTTCAAAAATAAGAACTTGAGAGTTTCATTATCACATGAATTATTCAACAAAATCATATTACAGCCTCTTAAGCCTTTTACACAGGTACTGGCAAACGAATAATCAATTGGCCGCTCATAACACTGCAAATCGAAAACGATTTATTAAAAAAAACTCATGTAGATGAAGTTAGATTCATAAAAGTATAACTTGAATTAGTTGTGATCTAAATAGCTCACCTCTTTACGTAATAATAACAGAAATCAGCCAAAATGAACGTTTGAACCATTTCTGCTAAAAAGACCATAGGTATCCATAAGAAACTACGTTCATCCAAGAAAATCGGTGATCCAACATTGTCATAAACCTGCATAGAAATAGTTGTAACTTTCAAGTTCGGAGATTATATTAGCATAGATTGACGATCAAAATGGAGAAATGTGTACGTAGAACACAAGATATATAACACTACAAAACTAACCTGAATAATCCAATGAGCACAACCCAAAAACCTTGCAATGCCCAATGCAAAAACATAATGGGCTGAAAATGTCTCAAGTATCTAAAATGCAAGTAACAAACAAATATTGTTAACTTTTTGTTTAAGAAGAAGACGATTTTCTTCTGTCTTTGTAGAAAAGAAATGGAGATATGAATACCTGAACATTTTGCATCAAGCGAAGCTGAGGCAACACTGATATGGATTCCAGATACACGCAAAAAGCCCAAAGCATTCGATTTATCAGAATATAACTTTTTACAGTAGGATGGACAAAGAAGGCCAAAACTGCGGCAGGAACTATCTGTCAAAAACAATTCAAAATCGTTTATAAGGGACTATCTATGCAATGTCACATATATCTGCAACTAGATTTAGTAAGACGAGAATATAAAATCTAATATTAGCAATATCAGTTAACTTCTCTTAGCTATAACTGGAGTTACTTAAGTCATGCATAATGTGCTAAACCACATCAAGTTGACTATCTATTGATCTGAAATCAGTAAAAAGACTTCCGGCTCCATAATTAGTTGTTAGAATATTTTTTTCATACAGTATGAGCCAACTTATGTGCATCTCAATTAATTTCATGAAATACATGTTACCTCCCGCCAACAACAGATTCATAATCATGAACAATAATTTTTTGACCTTGTTCCTTTTAATTTGCTTGCTTCCCTTTGCTAAAGATACACATACAAGTCTAGATGACTTCACATAAAGTTAAGTTTTATCATGGACAGAGTAAATGAATCACACATTAGAACATGAAAATAATATTTACAACTAAAGTAACTGTTCTATACAAGCTAAGTTACTCAAGAAATTAGCAGAATCAGAACTTGATTCAACAACAATCAAACGTAAAAGAGTCGTGGATGAAATTGTATTTACCACATAGTATAAGGACATGTTATCCAGATCTGCCATGTACGATGTCTTTAGCTTGAACTTCATCATATATATAATCCACAATGTTGCCACGAGGGTGATAAGATCTAACACAGTGTGGATATCTCCTTCCATGATGAAACTACAGTATACTCTTACAGCCAAAAATATCACTGTAAGCATTTGAGTCTTCAATGAAAGGCCTAACAAATCAGGATAAGTAAGTTATCAGACGAAAGGTGAAAAAGTGACAATCTAACAAGTAAAAACAAATCGATCTTAGACTAGTTGCATCATGAGTAGCACATTTCATACAACAAGAGCATTCAACCTTACAACGCGCATCAAACAATTGCACAAACACCTTGTCCAGTGGTAATCGACTAATAGCAGCAACGTTCTATTTGGCATACATAAATTTGATGAAATGAAATGAAAGTTACACACAAAAAATCAAAATATTTGTTTTCCAGATCTACAAAAAATGAAAAAGAATTCATGAGTGAAATTAAATTACCAGAGCAAGTGTTGAGGGTTGTCAATTTGTAAATCAAAATCAAGAGCCCAATCAAATGAATAGCTTCAGCCATAACAAAAAAATAGTTGTGATCATGAACGGCTAACTTGAGAGTCACCAATAGAGTAATCACCATGATGATAAACAAAACGATTTTCACTTTCTTCGATTGCTTTTGAACCCATGACAACAGTTTCTTCACCGGTGATTGATACCCTTTTTGCCCCATCTCCGTTAAGCTCTTCTCTTCGAACAGCTGAGTCTCCCTTTTTTTTTTATGAGAAATTTTCTTTGAGAAGCTCTTATAAGAGTTTGAAAATAAGATCAGATTTACAAAATCTGATTACATTTTCATGGTCAAACTTATGTATGACTCAAGTCTCCTACCTTGCCAGAGAATTATAATAGTATTGCATCCTTCCATCATTTTTCATATTGTTTCAACCTGCAAAGAAGTACTCACATCAATACACAACATGCCAAATAAAGGCAAATTAAAACATAAGCAACTTCAAAACACAACTGCAAGATTGTGATCATTTACATATGAATCTTGGTTCAAAGACAATCAACGAATGTTGTGCAGTGGATAAGGTTGATCCTACTTAATCAGAGGTCTCGGATTTGAGCCCTGCATATGAAAAAATCCTGACACCAAATGGGAAACCCAAGAAAATAATCTTGGTTCAAGAAAGATTCAAGCTTTTTATAGCTTCATCATAGGTACAGTATTCATTGCCAAAAGCACCAATTTGGCCTTTTCTACGAACTGTGTGTTTGGAAATTAGTATATCATTTCTCTATGTATTGCCCTCTTTGTCACTGTATTAACATCTTATCATCTCAAATTGCAGATTTGATCAATTTTCTTTGTGTAATCCAATTCCATTTTCATCTTCCTCAAAAGCTCCAACATCTTACAGTAAAAAAAAACTTGATTGTCTTGTGTTTTCCAGAAAAAAGATTAATCTTTTGGAACGAAGATATACAAAGAAGATCAAAACAGATGTACTCATGTCAGTTGTATGAGACATTAAAAAAAAATTGGGACTTATTGTTCGATGTCCACGTTGAAATCCAACTAAATTAGAATCACAACCTATTTAGGTTCTAAATAGTATTTTCAAGAGCCATCGGGCTTAAACTATCATGCTTTTCCTAACTTTTTTTTTTGGTTTCCCACCCGATGTCTAGAGCCTGCATTGAAGCCCGACTAAATTCAGATGGCACACTACGGAACCATTCGGGATGGCACTTCCAACATAATTTTTTACATGGACTCAACCCGAGACCTTTGGTTAATCATAGTTAACTAATACATATTGTTTCTTGATTAAAAACACTTCGAGAAAATTAATATTGTTTGATGTAAAATGTTATTTGCGGATAAAATTTAACTGAAAAGACTACTCAAAATTTCGTCAAAAGGGCAAAGTTCTGCAAATTCTTCAAAATGGAGTTTGTTCCAGTCACGGTCTCTATCCAATATCCACAACAAAAACTTTTGCTTCTTTGTCAAAGAAAAAGATGGAGAAATTCCACATAATAACTTAAGAATTAACAAAATGTTACAGTCTCTTGGTGTATTAAACCGGCGTTGGCAGGCGAACGATCAACTGGCCGCTCATGACACTGCAAATCAAAAAAGATGATTTGTTTAAAAGTCATGTAAATGAAAGTTGGATTCACATGAATAGCCGTACTTGAATTAGTCATGGGCTAAATGGCTCACCTTTTTACATAATAATAACAGAAATCTGCCAAGATGAACGTTTGAACCATTTCTGCCAAAAAGACTGTAGGTATCCAGAAATAACCACGTCCAGCCAAGTAAATATATGCTCCAGCAGTGTCATAAACCTGTATAGGAATAGTTGTAACTCTCAAGTACGGAATTATATAGCTTTAGATTCGTGCTGAAAATGGAGAAATGTGTATGTTGTTGCCATTTGGACTTAATTATTTGTAGAGATGAATCCAAAATTTAGAGTCAGTGAGCTCAGAATGAATGTCATCTTATTAAAAAAATTGATAATTTAAGTGGTTTCATATACATATACATAGTTCAAGTCAAGACACGAGACCAATGAGTTCAGCTGAACTGAAACAGCTGCTATTAATTCAAGAAGTTATGGAGAACAAGATAACGCTACAATCTACAAAACTAACCTGAATAATCCAATGAGCACAGCCCAAGAATCTTGCAATGCCCAGTGCGAAAACATAATGAGCTGAAAATGGCTCAATTATCTGAAATGCGAGAACAGAACATACTGTTAGTTTTTTGTTCATTAAAAGACAAGTTTAAGAAGAAGACAGAATTTTCTTCTTAATCATTTGGAGAAGAAGAGATATGAACCTGAACATTCTGCATCAAGCGAAGCTGAGGCAGTACTGAGACGGATTCCAGATATACACAAAAAGCCCAAAGCATTCGGTTTATCAGAATATGGCTTGTAGTAGGATGGACAAAGAAGGCTAAAGCTGCGGCAGGAACTATCTGTGCAAAATGAGTGGCATGGTTCAAAAGCAATATCAGGAAGCAATTCTAATTGCAAGAGATCATTTATAAGGGACTTTCTCTCTACAGAGAATGTCACTGTCTTGTATCATATAGCTTAGTAGAAATAACATGGCCGAGAAGGTCAGGAATCTATTTACTTCCAGAAAGGCAGTAATAAGACTCCAGGCCCCGTAATTAGTTGTCTAAACTACTTTTTTTATAACTATGATGTCTAGGTCAGATTGCGCACACCTTGACTAATTCAATGGAATACCTGCTATCTAAACTACTTTTTTTATAACTATGATGTCCAGGCCAGATTGCGCACACCTCGACTAATTCCATGGAATACCTGCTACCACCCGGCTCCCACCAACAACAAGTTCATAATCTTCCCTTTAGTGCGTAAATAATAAATGTTTCTTTTGGAATGAATAGAAGTCTAGATAAGGGAAGTAATTGTGGGTAGGAGAAAACAATATAAATAAAACAAAGTTTTATCATGGACAGAAGTAAATGGAATCACACAATAAAACATGGAAATAACATTTCTAACAAAAAAGTAACTGCTCTATAAAAGCTTAATTAATTACTCAAAAATTTGCAGAATGCAGAATTTGATTAACAACAATCTAACAGAAAAGAGCTGTAGACGAAAATTGTGTATACCGGATAGTATAAGGGCATGTTATCCAGTTCTGCCATGTAGGATGCCTTCAGCTTGAACTTCATCATATAAATGACCCACACTGTTGCCACAAGGGTGATAAAATCTAGCACAGTGTGGATATCTGCTTCCATGATGAAACTACAGTATAATCTTACGGCCAAAAAAATAGCTGTAAGCACTTGAGTCTTCAATGAAAGACCTAACAAAACAGGAGAAGAAAGCATATGAAAATAATGGTCTTTTCTTCAGGTCCAGTAAAAAGAATGACAATCTAACAAGTTCCGCAAAACAATTTGGACTTCTTGCATCCTGCCTATAATAACAAGGTTCCAAAGTAACACATTTCATACAACAGGAATATACAGATAGCCTACTACCTTACATCTATCGATCTGTAGGAGTACAAAAGGCGCATCAGACAATTGAACAAACACGTAATCAGGAATGTAAAAGATTTGCATTGTTATAACATTAAAGTTAAAATTACAGTCCTCAAGTACTTTCTGTTTTCTTGAGAAAAAGGAATCATCTTTTTGATGTCACCAAGTAACTGTCTAAAGAAAAGAATGGCCCTCTTTTATAGTAGCCATATTCAGTTTGACATACATATGAAGCAAATCTGACACACCCTCCTTTTAAAAATTGAAAAATTACACACCCTCTTTCATTTAGCATTAGAATAATCCATGACAATACCTCTAGTCAGATTCAACTGTCTAATCTTGAACTTTGTGTTGAATTTATTTATTTATTCACTATTTATATTGTGTTTTACTTATATAGATTAATCAGAAAATGGCTTACCTTGAAAGGTCAACAATATATCCCCCAAGGCTTATAGTCTAGTCGTATTAGTAGGGGTATTCAGTTGAAGATACAATTAAATATCAAAAAGTGTGTTTCTCTCTAAAGAGTCTTTGGTATGAGGTGTAAGGATAAAATGCACGATTATTTGTCTTTATGTTTAGTTGAAGGAATTATAATATAGTCCTAACCCCTAAAAGCTTAAAGTGATGAAAGGGTCACAGAGGCAACATGATATCACAACAAGCAAATGTCATGTAATGGAATTTCACCGTGTCACCCATTATCAAAAAAAAATCCGCATTTGACCTATAAAAAAAATCTCATAAAAGGGCACCACATAGTAGAGGTGGGCTACATTCCCATAGCCCAAAAATATAATTAAAAATGCCAAAATTTCATTTTTTAGTTCTCCCAACTCCCCACAAGAATATCCCAAATTCCAAAATTCAAGATGTCCCATCTAAAAGTGGAAAATAGAAACATCTAGAAATAAAAAAAAGGACTCTTTACACACAAAGCAAATTTTTTTTTTTGCACAGAGCAGTAACAGAGTAACACAAAACAAACCAATTTTTCTAGTTTAATTTAAACACAAAGCTCAATCAAATGGAAACTACACAAAAAAAATATTCTTTTTTTCAGATTAACAGAAAATAAAAAAGAATTTATGTCTGAAATCAAAATTACCAGAGCAAGTCTTGAGTGTTGTCAATTTGTAAATCAAAACCAAAAGTCCAATCAAATGAATAGCTTCAGCTATAACAAAGAAGAGGTTGTGATCATGAACAACTAACTTAAGAGTCACCAATAGAACGATTGCTGTGATTAAACCCAAAAAGATTTTCACTTTCTTCGATTTTTTCCGAATCCATGACAACACTTTCTTCGCCGGCGATTGATACCCTTTTTGACCCATTTTCCGACCGCCGGAGTTTTTTTTCTTTTTTTTTCCTAAGAATTTTATGAAAAAAAGAGCTGTAACGTTTTCTTTGAGAAGCTTTTTAAGGTATTGAAAATGGCGGAGTTTTTTTTGTAGAGAAAATACAGCGTGGAGGGTTACAGTAGCTAGTTTACGTAGTGTAACCAATAAAAAATGAACACGTGGATTATTAAAATATTTTCCTAATTAGGATTATGTAAGACATTAAATTACTATTTGGACATATACTTTCCATAACGGATTTGGTGTGTTTTGGTCATCCCCCAACACTGTAAGTCAAATTTGGTCCTTTTTTTCCTTATTTTTTATTTGGTTAATAATTAATTGAATGAAAAAAAATATAAAAAATATTAGGAAAATAGGAAATGAGAGATGAAATTACAAAGTTAGGGATTGAAATATAGTCAATAAGAATATAAAAGTTCAAGAAGTCAATCAACTGATATATTAAGAGTTTAAAAATCCCCCTAAATTTATGATTTAAAAAAAATATAAACATTTGTGTGACTATAAATTATTTTATTAAAAATAATTAAGATATTTGTGGTATTGGATGTTTAACTAGTGAAACACAAAGTCACATGCTTTGGCTAAAATAGATATTGTTTGACTGTACAATAGTATTTGTATTTGTCCAAAACAAATCTGTTTTCATTGATTTTTTTTTAAATATTCAAGAAAGTCAATTTTGACTAGGAAATTATTAGAGAATAATTAGCAACAAATAATATTGTAGTTGAACCAAGCTTACGTTTGTTCACCTAATTTTCTTCATATATATTTTTAAGAGTAACTTTCACATATAGCAAACAAAAAAAATCATATTTGTATGTTATAGCAAAGTTTGCATAATTGCGCTCCATAGCAAACATATATATGTATTATTCGCTATACATATACAAGTGAAAGCTGTCTATTTCGCTATACATATATACAAAAAGAAACAATTGTATAATTCGTTGGCTCCTCTTCAGATTTGTATAATTTCGCTGGCAGGCCATTTGTATAAATTGTTGTTAGCCTCTCGTTTGTATAAATCGTTGACAAACATAAATTATACATTATAAGTGTATAGGACGAATATATATATATATTTGCATGT